TTGCACAGCTCCCAGATACCATCATGGTCACAGGCTGCAGCTTAGACCCGGGGAATTCATGTCGCCTTTCATGGCAACATGGTCCACTAGATATTAACACATACCCCAACTGTGGCAGGACCATGGACCCAGGCATGATCTTAGGCAGCAGCCCAGACCTGGATGTTACCATGGCCCCAGGTTTCAGCACAGGCCACTCAGATGGGCATGGTCCCCCCAGCAGCAATGTCCTAATAGACCATCATGGCCCCATGTGGCAACCCAGACCACAGGCCTCAACATGGCCCTCAGGGTGACAGCAGCCGCGGATGTCAACACAGGCTCCTAGGCCATTTCAGAGCTTCAAAACAAGACTTGGCCCTTGGCAACAGCCCAAGCCCAGATATTACCCTGGACTTGGGTGTAAAGCAGGCCATTCATATCTGCCTGTTCCTCCCCACTCTCACCTCTTCAGGTAAGCCTCTCTCTCCAGTCCATGAACTGTTCTGCCTCTCTCTTTCTTCCATATCCCCACCTTGTACTCGCTCACTATAATGGTCCCCTGACGCCTGACAGGTGCATGGTTGAGTCAAAGGTGGCACCTGGTTGAGTCCTGCCCAGCCCAGCCACAAGGCATGGCGCAGAGATGTTGCTTTTTATCTATTGCCTGCCCGTGCCTGGAAATTATAGCCTGAGTATGATGGTGACTGACTCACAGCTGCCTTTGGCACTAACATGGCTCCCGGATAGTCTGCCAGACCATGAGGTATGTGTGGGAGGGGCCATCTGTGTCCTCTACTGTTCAGGTCTAGAAAGTGATGAGTGGGTCATGGATAGCTGTCCCTTTTTTTTTTTATATTCTTTATCTCAATGTTTAGTTTTCATTATGATACGTCGTCATAGAAAAACTAGTAATGTTTCTATGTAAGGCATAAGTAAAATGGTCACATGTATACCTGTATGACAATTCTTTATTAATTAGTTCAATGAAAAAGCTAATGTCTAGAATTTTCCTCTAAATAGAACATTCAAGGAAAACACCAACATATACTGTCATAACTAATAAATACTTGCCTTTAGAAGTCTATAATTCTCCAGAAGTATTTTCAAATAAAATAATTTCTCGGTAGGATATTTAATTAATATACAATATATTTTATTTTCTGAGTTGCTGCCAAATCTAATTTCCTGGAGATTGTTTGTTCAGTGCTTATAATATCATTAATATTATTTCTGACATTTAAAAATAAATGTAAGTGTCTTTTTCAGGTGTATTTTTGTCTTTCAAACTATAGCTTTGGAATATATTTCCCCCATTGTCCTTTTCTAGAAAGGCAACCAGCCAACCATAAAGAACATGTTTTTAAAATGTAAAATTTACATCAGAGAATGTATCTAATACTAGATGTAAAGAATTTTAATTCTCACCATTAATATTTTATATTTTCTTTTAATTCTACAAGAATGATGGAAAGCTTTACTCTAGAATACTCTTGCTTTCTGGAAATTAAATTAAGGCTCACTCTTGAATGATGTTTATTGGGCCTGTCTGTTTGGTTTAGCTTAATTTCTTCTTCTTCCTCTTACAAATAAACTCCTGATAATCATCCAGGTCTTGATAAGTGTTCTGAGTTGTATGGATTCCAGCAGGAGATGGTTTGGCTCTGGTTTGGGTCCTGGCAGTGTGTTCTTTATTCCTGTTTAGTGAGCTTTGCCCATACACTGTTGAAGTACTGATTCAGGAACAACTTTCCTCCTGCCAGGAAAAGGCTCTCCCTTGGTATTCTCTGTCCATTCCACCCCATTCTTTTTATATACCTCCAAGGCAAATGGTATCTGTGAATGAACTCAGAAGGATGATATTCTTATTCAGTTCAGGTCCATCTAGAGAACAAAAGAAAAGCTCTTGTGAGCTGTGCTGTTTGAATCTCTAGTATGAAATATAACTCCAGGATACTGCCTTGGCCTGGAGTGGAAGGGGCTATCTAGAGGCTGTGGCTGTCATAGCATCTGCCCCTGTAAGTGGGACTCACGGTTCAAAAATGTCCTATAACACGAAGCTCTGTCTTTCCTGAGGGGTGATATCTCTCTGTCTTTCTCTGTCTCTGTCTCTACATCTTTTGGTTTCCCCTCTGTGTGTGTCTGCTGTTTCTTCTTGAGCGAAATAAAAACTGTTGGTTTAGGAGCCAAAGGTGGTATTTTATTTTCCTGGTAGGATTTTAGAACACTGGTACTCATCTCGCTGTTCACAGGGCATGCATCTTCAAGTTCTTCATGGGATTCAGTTTCTTGTGCCCAAGAATATTGGCTTTTTAAAACACATCAGATGTGACCTCATAGTTCTAACTCTTTCTGGCTTCATGGGCTTTGGAGAAAGCTTTCTATTTGTTTAATGTCTCAGCGTTTTTGGGTCATTACCTTCTTATCTTTTGGGATAGGTCTCTATCTTGACTCCATCATTGTATCTGAATACTGAGATATTGATAATGATATTGGTAATCTGTTTCTGTAGCTGTTTCAGTCCTGTATCTTAATGTTCCTCCAGAAGGAAGCTGAAGACATGGAAGTGTTATCACATATATTTATCTAAGGCTCTACTTCAGCCATATGTACAGTCTTGATCACTTTCTTAACTTCCCTTGCTCCTACCCTCCCCCACTTCCATTGCTTCTCTGGGGAGCTAGGGGGAATCTTTGAAAACATCCCTTCATCACAATTTAAAAGTTGTGGCTTATGTTCAGACATTCACCTATCTAGTTTGCTTATAAATTAAAAGCCATCTGGACATCAGAGCTTGGTTAGATGATTTATAGTGTATAGTGATTCTAAAAATTAATTTTTGTCTCCCTCATATGTTATCCAGACCAGGTTTCTGAGATAAATGGGAAATCCATCCGCTTCAGTGCCTCCGAACTCAACTCAGCACCTTCTGGTTTGCTGGGACTGGTTTGAGTGTGTTTTGAAGGGTTATTTACTTTCACGGTTTGGCAAGGCCCAGATAGAGAGCAGCTCTCAGAGCTGGTGGCAGCAGAGAGAATACTAATAAGTGTGAGTCATCCGCAGTAAATTAAAAATATAATAATAAAGGAAAATTAAACTGCTACGTGTTTGGGTGCTCTCTCTATTACCATAAATCTACACTCTCCTCTCTTCTCTAATAGAGAGTGGGCGTGGCAGAAAGCATTTGTGAATTTCCATTAGCATTTCTGGAGACAATTGCTCTATTAAATGATTCAGGATTTAGCTCCTAGCTTGCAAAGCTCAACTTAGGTACATTAGACATTTAATTCTTAGGCAGGGTATCTACGCAGTACCATAATACATTAGAATGAAAATAATATGTTAGCCTCTTGCCCAAATTATTTTCTCTCCTCCTCCCTCTCTCTTCACTATCCTTGTCTTCCATACCTCTTTCCTCCCTTTTCTTACCCCCTTCTTTATAAGGATGTAGCATGAATCTTAAAACTTCTTATTAATAAATTCAAACCTGAGCCAGGTATTGGGGTGAATGCTGGATGGTCAGAGAGACAGAACAAGCCACAGCTAACCTCATCTGGCCAACTTCTCAGTTGGTCTTGTTTCCTCAGACTGGAAGCCTCTGTGTCCTCATATCTGAATGGCTCTCAGCTGTGCTACTAGAAGCCTGAACGCTTAACCAGGCAAATGCTTAACCAGGCCAAAAGCTTCTAGTTCCTGGTCCTCACGCCTTATATATCTTTCTGTCTTCTACCATCACTCCCTGGGATTAAAGGCATGTGTCACCATGCCTGGCTCTTTCCAATGTGGCCTTGAACTCACAGAGATCCCAGATGGATTTCTCCCTCTGAAATGCTAGGATTAAAGGTGTCAGTGCCACCATTTTCTAGCCTCTGTATTTAATGCCTGTTCTGTTCTCTGACCCCAGATAAATTTATTAGGGTACACAATATTTTGGGGAACACAATACCATCACATTTCCCCTTTTTTGTCTTAAATTTAAAAAAGCTTATAACTAATACAAAAAAATTATATCCAGTAAGTATATACAATATACACAGTCAAGATTACATTAACGATGTCTAATCCATTAACATTTGACAGATTCAGATAAAAAACTCCATTAATCTATAACAATGTCCAGTCCAGTAACATTTGACAAATTCAGACAAAAAAATTTCATTACTTATCCTTTTAAAAAGTAGATTCCATAATCTCCCTTTTTATCTTATCATATCCATATTCTCTCTTTTTTTCTTTTCATAATAGATTCAGTAGTCTACCTTTTGTCATTTTTATATCTTCCCCTTTTTCTTTTCAGCTAGATTCAGCGATCTACCTATTTATCCAATTATTTCTTTATCTTTTTTCTCAGAGTAGATTTGATCTATCTCATATCTATATTCTCTTTTTCTTTTTGCTTTCTAGGGGTGAAGCTATCTTTAGGGAATCTTGAAAAGAAAATTTTTGGGTTAATTGTCAAGTCCTGTATCATTTGTCCAGTTGCCACATAATGAGAAAGTACAGCACTTGTTTCAAGTCCTTGTTCAAGTAGTCTGTCAGGCTGAATCATCTCAGCTAGCCATCTCAAAATTGTCCTAAACAGTTTGTAGTCCAAAGTCAATCTTTCCTTGGTATTAATCAGCTTAATGGCTTTACCATAAACCATGTGGAATCATCATTGTGGGATTCTGTCATCCTTTTGAAGATTTCAAAGTCACTGTTAGGTGTGGTCATGGTTCCCTGCAGACTTTTTTTTTGTGTGTGTGCCTCCTCTGTGGTTTGGAGTAATCACAGTCTGATAAATGTCTGTCTCTTGAAACCACGAATGTTTTTCCCTAGAAGAGAATATCTTGACAGCAATTTCTCCCCACCATTTGACTTGCCAAACTTTTCCAAACTGACCTTTGTTGATGCTTTCTTGTAACATGATGGTCCTGGCAATTCTCTGAACAAGCAGCAGTTAACCCTTTGTCCCAGGTAGCAGCATCACTGCAGTCATCAACATGATGAGAAGGAGCCAGCAACTCAGAGTAGCAGCCACTGCCTCCATGGTCCCACCACTGTTTGTGGTTCGGTCCGCGCTGAAGCTTCTCCCAAGCCTTCTAGGCTGGCCTTAAACTCAGGATCCTCCTACCTTTGCCTTCTTCAGCAACTCCTACCCATGTGCACCACCACAACCAGCTGAGGGTAGCTTGGATCTGACCTGGGGCCCTCAAGACCACAGGCAAGTAGCTTTTTCATGAATTCCTACCTGACAAGTTAGGAGCCAGATATAGCTGGAATCTTAAAAGGTCTTATTAATTAAATCCAACCTGAGCTAGGTATTGGGGTGAATGCTGGATGGTCAGAGACAGAACAAGCCACAGCTAACCTCACCTGGCCAAGTTCTCAGCTTAAGGAGGTGCTGATGATAGGCCCAAAGTTTCATGTCTCCTGGAAAGGAAAGAATATACTTACTCACCTTCCCATTGGAGGTTGTTAAAAAAAATACTTGATAATTTTAATCTAGAACATAATGCTTGGTTCATGGTTTGTAAATAAATCATTCATTATGCTGTGCCCTGAGTTTCCGACTTGGAAGCAAGCGTGTCCCCATTATAGAACCGTGTGAGATGATTAATTTTGATTGTCAACCTGGGTACATTAAGAAATGAGTACATCAGTAGTGAAGTACATCTTTGGGTATGTCTGTGAGGCTATGTCCACAGAGGATTAGCTGAGCACTTGATACCTAACTTGATTTTGGTGTGTCACCATCTCATGGGTTGTGTTCCAAGACAAAATAAGTAGGGAAAAAATATAAAACTACATGAAAGGCATTCCCCTTCCTCTCTCTCTTCATTGAGCCAGATGTGAGCAAGCGGGCTCATGCTTCTGTCGTCCCAAACAAGCACTATTTCCTTTGCTATGTCTTCTACACAAGAGACTAGATCCTCAAATTCTGAACCCAAATAGATTCCCCCTCCCATATGTAACTTCTCAGGACTTTTATTACAGCCACAAGAAATGTAATTAATGCTTAACATCTCTAACTTCTGTTGGGTAAGTTCTTGGGAATGTGTGTGAATAAACCCATACAACCAGATATTGAGTCATATCTCCTGGGCTTTTGTTTTTAATCTTCTTTCTCTCCATTTCTCTAGAAAGATTGCCTTTCTCTGCCTCCATTCAGTTTTGATTCGCACCAAGTTTTATTGCACTGTAGATTACCAAGACACTACCTAGTAAAGAATCTGTACTTCTGTCTGCTTGCTCAACCAGACAAATAGCCATATTTGGGTCATATTATTATCAACCCCATAGTGCAAAACACTTTTTATTACTAACACTATTGCCTACTCCTACCAATGATGCTAATTTTCTAGGAACATGATCATTTTTGGCAATCTGTACATGTTCACTCTGTGCCAACCTCCAAATCGCAGAGAGCTGTTAATTCCAAATCACCTTTTTATGGAATACACTTTGATGTCCTCTCACATATTGGCATGAATGTTTTAGATAAGTAGGAGGCCAACACGACTTGCGTCTCTGAGGCCTTGGCTTTGGCAGGGGACTAGATCACGCAACAATGTGCAGCGGTGAAATACTTCCTAAGAACTGATGCAGATTAAAGATTAAGTGCCAAAACCAACACTTGTCAAATGCTCTCAGTTGCAAGCAATACTTCAGCTGCAAACCAAGTTCCTATTTCAGAGGACAGAATGTAAAGCTGAAAAAGCCAGGGAGAAGAGTATTAGCTGTTGATGGCAGAAATGGGAGCTGCATGTCTTCACCTCTTCCTTTCCTACTTTCAAAATGAGCATGCCAACTCGTTGATGCTATTTGAGAGATTCAAATTCCAGTGCAACTATCCTAGAGCAACATGGGTTTGTGGCCACATCAACATAAACTATTGATAAGGGTAGATGATACAACCTAATGGTTTTAGGTTTTAGGCTAAAAGCATATGATTTCCCAACCCCCACCCCTGTGTGTGCCCCCTTGCACCCCTATTTTCTGTGTCCTACTTTCACCAGTCCCTTTTCCTTTTCACTACCTTATATTCAAACTTTCTTCTTTCCAGTTAATGATATATACTATAGAGTTTTTATATCAATCATGAAGATTGGCCTTTTAATTTGTATAGTATTCCATCCTTGTGTACTGTGGTTAAATGATTCCTTATTAGAGAACATATAACTCCCCCTCCCAACTTGTTTGGTGTGACAAACATTGTTATAGTGGATAACTGGTGTTATCTCAGGTAAGTGTGAGATGTCTTTGGGATAGTTCCAAAATTAAGATTGCTGCTGACATTTGTATTGTTACATTAAGAGTCTATCTTAGTGCAGAGTAGAAAACACGTTTACAAACTTATAATTTTCTAAGGTTACACTGCTGTGCTATAAGTATTCAATAAGAAGCTGAGAAAGTTGATGAAATTTTCTATCAAGGTCCTCTTTCACATGGAGCTATCCAGCAGAATGGTAGATTAGGGAGTTTCCCACCTATATCTCCTGTAACAACAGTAATTTAGAAGCCACCCATGGCTGTGTCCCTTGGGAGGACCCTTTTAGGAAGCCTTTCCACTGGGGTGTTCTGCGGTACATTGGCCTTCTAGTGTATACAAATATTTTTCTACTGATTAATTTTAATATTAATTCTATTCTTTGTCAACTTTGTTCATTGATAGTTTTAATCATATATATGTATATGCACGTATATATGTGTGTAGTAATTCTGTTTACTGTTGCCTTGGACCTCTTTTTATCTCCTTCACTTCTATTAGCCCCCCCCATCTCTACAAGTCCCTTTCTCACACTCTTGTCTTTTTGTTTTGTGACCATTGGCCTCGTGTTCGTAACTATTCACTGGAACATGATTACATAATGGTTTCATCACTGAGTACACTGCTGAAGAAAAGTCTGCCTCTCCTGCAGAATCCACCAGTAACATGTAGTTCAGTGCTGAGGAGTCAGGCCAAGTGGGCCCCTCTGCAGTTTATTACTGGTTCATAGAAAGTTGGCTTTCTTTCCTGTTGAGTGAACTTTAAGTCCAATTAGACAGTTGGTTATTATCAACATGTGAGTACCACATATTATACCTTTGTGGATATCTTGCTGTGCTGGTCATTGTTGTGATTTATCGGTGTCACTCTGGGTAGGACCATTAGCTGCTTTTCTCCTTTGTTGGCTTGCATAGCACCTTCTGGTACCCTGGGAGCTAGAAAACAGGAAGCATTCAGGTTAGATCTCACTTAACCCTATGTCTTCAGTATGTAGTGTCCTTAGCAACAAGGCTTTCCCCCAAGCCTTGAAAGACATACAAGGGTGGGTGACAATAATAATGTTTTGGAAATCATCTGGATCACCCTGACCAAATGTTCAAGAGGAGATTTCTTATGCCTGGTATCAGGTTTCTTGTCAGTCAAGGCTTCTTGTACGAAAATACTGTCAGACCAAGTGGCACAATCTCCCCTAAGCACATGCATCCATGCATCCATCCCTCCACCCCAACCACCAGGTATATGTTTACATGTACTGTGTACAACTCCGGGAAAACACAAAACAGTAAGGTTCCTTAAGTTTTCATCTTTACTCTTTTAAGCTTTCACCAATATAGGTAAGGTGATCAGTAATTATTCTTTCTTTGCCTTTTTCCTTCCACATTTGTTTGCCTTGTTTCCATGTTTAGAGTGTGCTCCATCTGCATGTTGTTGTCTCATATTTGTTCCCCTTTGTTTTGTAACTAAACGAAGTCTTTGATGATAACTTACTACTGCCAAGGTTTCAATCATGTTTTAGCAGTTTTCACAGTCATGGTTCAACAAAATAGAATTTAATAAACATGTGTACACTGACTCTCTCAGTCTATATCTTTTATATTTAAAGATAGTTTGGATCATATTTTGTGTCTTGAACACTTTTTGGATAATTGTTCTGCTGTTTTCTTGTGTTGAGATTCTCTAATACAAAGTCTGTTTAGAAATGCATTTATCTTCCTTAATAGTTACCAGATAGTTTTCCTCAGACAACCAAAGTATTTATTTACTTGTGCTATTTAACACTTTTAGAAGGCTATTAGAGTGTTGGCCATTCTAAGAAAAATTTCCAAAGTATATGATATGCCATTTCTTTTTTGTTACCTTATTTATTTCCAATTTTAACTGAAAAATAATAATTTTTGCAGACAAATTTATAACATACCATTTCAGTATTTTTCTTTAATAGTGATTTAAATTTTATGTCTCTTTACTTACTGTATTTATCACTCCTCTGCCACTATTTTAAAATTATTTCTTTATTCCATTTTCTTGCTCTTTTGATTTCTTTTCCTTTGTCTAATATGCCTTCCACCATGCCTGTTTTATGTGACAGTCTGTACTGAAATGTTTTATTAGGATGACTTTTTCTTTTTTCCTCAGTTCTGTTGGTTTCATTTCATGTGTTTCTATTATTTGGGAACCACATCATCTCCTTCATCTGACATACTAGTCATCATTCTATGTTTTCACCACAGTGTTCCTTTAGAGAAGCAATTGCTTCAATAATTAAAAATCCTTGTTTCAAACTCAAAGGGTATTTTCCCCTCTTTGGTGCTAACACATCTTTTATTAGGGCTTGTTTTCTCCCTCTTTGGAGATATTTCACACCTCCCTTCCTCCCTCTTCCCAATGGTGTCCTGCACAGAGGTGATGATTTTATATTTTAGAACAAGACATATTAGAGTGGGTTGGCAATTCCTATGCCATGAGTTTGAGAAGAACACAGCAAGAAGGCACAGAAGTATTGCATAACATTCCTGATGGCTCAGTTTCCCTTTCTGCTGATCTAAGAACCACCAGATGCCCTTTGGCCCTTACCACCCGGACTTTTAGCAATGAGCCATGTGTGGTTACTTTACACACTGAATACTCAAAGCCCATAGCCAGCCACTGTGTAGGGACGTTTGGCTTTTCTGCAATCTTTTGGCCATATCCATGTTTAGAAATAATATATTCTTGGGTTTTTAAGAAGATCTTTTAGTTTTCTAGTATATATTAATAATATGAAATTTGTATATAAAACATTTCACCTATATATAATGTATTTTATTATAATCAATCTCCATTGCTTCTCTTCCCTATATCCTCTTCTTCCAGTTCTTCTTGTCTTCCAAACTAGTGTCTTTTATGCTTTGATGTCTTTAAAAAGTATACATTCCATACATTTAAAAAAAGCAAAACAAAAACATGAAATCATGATTTCTGAGTCTGGCTTATTTTGCTTAACATGATGACCTCTAGTTCCATGCATTTTCCTGAAATGAAATGTTTCATTCTTCTTTATGGCCAAGCAAATGTCCACTGTGTTTGTGTACCACATTTTCTTTACACATCCATATATTGATAGGCACAGAGGCTGATGCCATAAAATGGCTATTGTGAATAGTGCCTTCATAAACATGGTGTGCATGTTAACCCAGATACTAGAAGGCACAGACCCGAGAGTGGTCCAGTTGAATCATTGGTGAGAGATGGAGAAAACAATGAAAATACAGGTCATTCTGTGTAGTTCTAAAAAGAATTATAATTTTAAAAATCTTCCTTAATGATATGAAATACTGAGAGATAAAGAGGAAAATATCAAGTTTCTCATTTCTAATTTTATTCTTGAATCTCTTTGGCCAGAATGAGTATAGAGTATACAGATTCCTTGATACTACACTAGCATTTTGTGATTTATTTGTACACTACTCCTACTGTCTTTTCATAAAAGTAAACTTCATCAAAGTCAAAAGAACTGACCTGATAGTGGCATAATGTTGTAGCTGCATTCCACTAAGGCAAGGAAAATAGAAGCCCCAGGTCAACCCAAAAACTCAAGCCTGATTCTCTACCCGTAGTTTAGCTTTAATCATTACGAAGCCATGATTTATATTTCATGTCCCCTTATGTTTGTGTGATACAGCTTGTGCGGTACCAGTTTTACTAAGAGTTTGCCTTAGGTGAGGAGCAATTATAAGTGAACCTCTAACTTATATGTGTCTGCTGGAAAATTATAACAAAAGTGGCAATGGCCTAGATACCACACAATTAAACACTATAAAGACCCAGGGTTCCATTGTTCCTCCAGGAGACATCACAGCTGCCTTAGTCATCAGTTTTCAGGGGTTTGGCAATGCCCCTCATGTTTATAGTTTCATTAAAACTGTTTATCAGCATTCAGTGACTTGTAAAGGTAGATTGTCTTTTAGACAGTGCTATTTGCCCACACTACAGCTAACACCCAAATGAAGCATCACAATTTGCACAAACCTTCTTTCTTCCTGCAGAGTCTTATTCTTTGTTAATATACAGAAATTCCGAGCCACAAAACAGTCAACTGTTCTTTATAATATTTAGAGCTGTTTCCTCATGTGGAAGGAAAGTCCATATCATTCAGAGATTCCATCTGCAGAGAACTAGATAGATGATCATTGTGGTGGTATTGTGTTCCCCCAAATATTGTGCACCCTCATAAACAAATCTGGGGGCAGAGGACAGAACAGCCACTAGATACAGAGGCCAGAAATTGATGGCACACACACTTTTAATCCTAGCATTCTGAAGGTAGAGATCCATGCCTTCATGGATCTCTGTGAGTCCAAAGCCACACTGGAAACAGCCAGGCATGGTGACTCAGGCCTTTAATCCCAGGAAGTGATGGCAGAAAGCATAAAGGTATATAAGGCGTGAGGACCAGGAACTAGAGCTGGTTAAGCTTTTAGGCTTTTGAGCAGCAGTTCAGCTGATATTCATTCTGGATGAGGACTCAGAGGCTTCCAGTCTGAGGAAACAGGATCAGCTGAGGAATTGGCAAAGTGAGGTGGCTGTGGCTTGTTCTGTTTCTCTGATCTTCCAGCATTCATCCCAACACTTGGCTTCGGATTTGTTTTTATTAATAAGACCCTTTAGGATTCATCCTACATATCATCTCTTAAAAGTTCTATGATATTATTTCTCTTTGTTTTCTTGACTCCACATGTTTTCTGAGGTGCTAGACTTCCTTTTATGGATTATTGATTTTCATGGAGGTTAAGAAAACTGAAGAGTACTCACACACAAACACTGGTGCAAGGTATAACAAAGCAAGTGTGTTAGCTTGTCAAGACTGCCAAAACAATGTGGCCAACCAGGTGGCTTAAGTGCAGAAATATGTCCTGGAGGCAAGACAACTGTAATCAAGATGTTAGCATTAATGGTTCCCTCTGACAGCTGTCAAGGAGAGAGCTGATCCAGGCTTCACTTCTTGCCATGTAGAGTGATAACCTTTCCCCATGTCTCTTCATATCATTTCCCATCTATCTGTATCTTTATTCAAATCTCACACCTGAGTCATATGAGATGAGAGCCCAACCTTACAACATCACTTTAATTGACCGCCTTTGTAAAGACTGTGTCTCCAAATAAACTCCCATTCTAATAAACCATGGATTCTAATTCTACCTTATGAATTTGGGGACATTACAATTTAGTATGTCATAGTAACCATTCAAATATAAGCATTAGTCATTCTTCAAGCCTTCACAATGTTAAATAATGCTATTATAATGTGTGCTATTTAAGATAATCTAAAATTTCTGTATTTTTATTAACATTTAAGTTACCTTCAGCTTTGTGTTTAATGTTTGAGAAGGTTGTGGCTTGGATGACTGCCTTTTGTGATTCACTCTTTACTGAAGACAGGTTACTTCATAGAGATTCAGTATGCATATGCCTTTTGTGACTTGTGTTGGATGAAAACTGTTGTATAGTTACTATGGACAACACAAAGATTTAAATCCATATTCCATTGGCTCCAAGATTAATGCTCTATGGATGGTCAATGGTATTTTGTTTTTAAATGGTCATTTTTCTGCTTATGTTTTCAAAAATACTGATTTATCATAAAGCTTGGGGGAAAATATGGAAACAAATATTTAAATTACCCCAAATTTTACTATTTGGACACAATCCTTAGAAAAGCCACATGTAAATATTATGGTAATTCAACTAAACATATGTACAGCTGTAGAATGGCACACATAAGTTTACACACTACAGATTCTTCACATGAATCATTTTTCAGATCACTTGTCTGACCTCAAATCATCTTTTAGCCTACTGGGGAACTCTTTTTTAATTATCTTTTCATCCTCCTGGATGGAATATTGTACAAACTTGTGACATTACAGTTGGAATTCAGTTTCTTTTCTGGCTTTTATAGAGTTCTAAGAGATGAATGGTCCAAGGCAGAGGGCAGGACAGGCAATATCTTCATTCACTTCTCTGGTTAATTTCTCACGCTGATACTTTTGCCCAAGCCTCCTGTGTAAATAGCAAGTCCATTTTGTCACAGAATGTATATATGTGTGTATATATATATATATATATATATATATAGGCATTTTTCTTTATTAAGAAATTTTTTATTCATTTTACATATTTTACATAGTAAACACAGATCCCTCTCTCGCCCCTCCTCCTGCTCCCTCCCCAGTCTCCCTGTGTCCCCCTCCCAGTCCTAGTCCCTCCTCTGAAAAGGTAAGGTCTTCCATGGGGAGTCAGCAGAGCCTGGTACATTCAATTGAGGCAGGTCCAAGCCCCTCGCCCTACATCAAGGCTGTGCAAGGTGTCTAACCATGGGTAATGAAGAAACCTGGTTCTAGGGAAGTTCCCAGGAATCCACAAGGATGACTCCAGCTTAGACTACTAGCAATAGTGGAGAGGATGCCTAAGCTGGCCTACCCTGGTAATCAGATTGGTGAATACCCTAACTGTCATCATAGAACCTTCATTCAGTAACTGATGGAAGCAGATGCAGAGATTCATAGTCAAGCACCAGGCCGAGCTTCAGGAGTCTAATAGAAGAGAGGGAAAAGAAATTCTATGAGCAAGGGACATCAAGATAATGATGGGGAAACCTACGGAGACAAATGGACCAAGCTGGTGGGAACTCATCAACTTTAGACCAATAGCTGTGGAGCCTCCATTGGACTGGACTAGGCCCTCTGAATAAGCAAGACAGGCACCCTGGTAGTAGGATCAGAATCTATCCCTGGTACATGAGCTGCTTTTTGAAATATATATGGACAATTTTTGAAGTTATGAATCCTAATGGAAATCATGCCTGGTTGGGGAAAATCAGAGCTAGCTTCTCTTTGTTTGGCCCAGGTTTGGTCACTTTCCTGAATATAAATGAAGAGCCCAGAAGAGCATGTTGTCCATAGTAACCACATCTAAGGAATACAGAATTAAGAGAACCTGATGAATCCTTTCAAACTATGGCCAGAAAACCTACATCATGTCGCATAACCCAAGCTTAGAATGGAGGACATGCTCCATGATGAATACAGCCATTTTGTCGGACAGCTGAATTATTAAGGCAGCTTCCATTCCTGCCTGCTTTCCTCTCTTTTCTTTTAGTTTTTTAACGTTTTTAAGTGACACACAAAAACTGTGCTAGCTGAGTATAGGTGCACACACGTTGTTCAGTGTACTCCTTACGCTGAGAAAAAAAAAGGATGAATTGAGCATTCAAGTTTAAAGATAGCCTGAGCAGTACAATAAGACATCATGTTAAAAAAAAACAATTATTTTATTTATGAGGTATGCCAAGATGGTTTAATATATACTCTTATAATGTTCAAATCGAGTTGAATATATCTATCCTTACAAATTATAATCACTTCTTTGTGATAAAAAATTCATAATTCTTGCTTTTAACCTTTAAAAAACATATGGTCTATTTTTTCATCTGTATCCATCCTACTATGCAATAGAATGGCAGAACTTATTTCTTTCTTCTATTACTTCATACCTGTGAGTCAAACTTTTCCCATCCTCCCCTCCCTATATCTTCCCTAGCCTCTAGTAATCCTAATTTTGCTCTCAACTTCTTTTTTTAGAAAACACATATGAGAGAGACTGTGTGGTATTTGTCTTTCTATCCTTGGCTTACTCAGCCTAAAATTCTCCAACTCTAGGCTGTTGCAAATGACAAAATTTTATCCTTTCCTAGCTAATGTGCCTCCGTGTGTGGACACAGCTTATTTCCATTTCTTAGCTATTGTGACTCATTCAGCAACAAACATGCATATGTAAATGTGTCTTTAACATGCTGAATCCCTTTCCTTAAGGAGTATTCTCAGTAGTGGGATTCTGTATTATATAGTAACTCTACTTTAAGCTTTGGAGAACTGTCATGCTGTTTTCCATAGTAGCTGTGTTAATGTCTGTCTGTCTGTCTATCTATCTATCTATCTTTTACCAATAATGGGAAAGGGTTTTGTTTTCTCTGTGATCCTTATCAACACATTTTTTAGCTGTTTTCTTTCCATCATAGGCATTCTAACTAAAGTGAAGTGGTATCTTTCTATGGTTTTGATGTATATTTCCCTGGTGATTTCTTGTGGTGAATTTTCCAAGAAGCTCTGATCCATTTTATATCTTCTTTCGAAAGTGTCTATTTGTTTTTGACATTTAAATTGGCTATTTGAGTTCTTCTTATATATTCTATGAACACAGTGTTATTACCTCCTTCTCAAGTGTCCCAGGTTTGATATTACTTTCTAGACTTCTGTAGAAGACTTCCCTCTGTTTATTAATTTCTTTGCTGTTCAAAAGCTTTTTAGTTTGAGGAAATCTCAGTTATACGATGTCCTTGATTTTGTCTCTTGTCCAACTCATTGCTTTGTGTGAATTACACATTTAACCTCACTACATCACCTCTGGCACATGTTAAAATATCAAGTATTTAATCACTTAAAATTTGTTGGCTGAAGGTTTAACTCTGAATGTTGTGGTAAATTAAGTCTGGAATCCATTTAATGACATGCTTAAATGAGTCATGTAATCTTTTGTGGTGAATCTCTCAAGAGATCACTTGCAAGCAATCTGGTAATGTTTCCCATTTGGACAGTGCTGTTACAAATTGCCCTAAAGGCCAGAGAAATGGCTCAACAGTTAACAGCACTGGCTGCTTTTGCAGAGGACCCAGGTTTGGCTCCCAGAACCCACTTGGTACCTTACACCCATCTGTAACTCCAGTTCCAGAGGACTTGGTACCCTAATCTGGCCTCTTTGGATACCAGTCACACATATGGTATACATACACACATGTAAGCAAAACACTCATACATATAAGATAAAGAAAAAAATTTGGGGTTGGAGACATGGCTCAGAAACTATAGGGAGTTACTGATCTTACAGAAGACCCAGGTTTGATTTCTAGGACCCATCCGACAGCTCCAGTTCCCATGAGACCAATACCACCTTCTGGCCTTTGTGGGCTGTTGGACACATGTGGTACAAGTGAATTCATTCAAGTACACACATACCAATTAAAACAAACAAACAAAGCAAACAAAAATTCAGAATGGCTCGACCTTCCTTTAGGGTGGGTGCACTGTGGCTTAACCTGAAGTCTTGCTCAGATTGCTAAGTCTGACCTTACTTGCAGGGGCCAGTGACAGGGACTTCATGAGCCTCCTTTGACCCCCCCCCAGTGTAGTAAAGGAGATCATAGTGAGAAAGAACAAGTTACTTCTGAGGTGGTAGAAAGGTTTTTGGAAGTGTAAAGTTCCAAAATGCATTCCTGATACCCTCTAGGCTCATTGGACTATCTGTATTCAGGCCATGGAAGGAATCACCTCAAATCATCTACCTTGTAGCCCTGGGCCATTCCAGTTACTTACCATTGTTATGATGAGTCATCTATGAGTCTTCCTGAAGGACATCCTACTCATGGCTAAACCTTTGAGCCAGTGCTTTGGTGCTTAAGAACATCACTGAAAAGAAAGTTCGTAAAAGCATATGCATGACCTTTATTTTTACTTTTTTGACAAATCTCTGCACTGATTTCAAAAGTGACTGTGGAAGTTTACATTCCCACCATTGATGTATGGGGCTTCCTCTTTCTCCAAGTAAATCTATAGTCACTACATAAATACATGGACACTGAAGAACAGACTCTTGAATAATCCATGGACCGTTATAGAAACGCTGCACAAGTACATGGAAACTGAGCAATACACTCTTGAATACCCTGTGGGTCATTGAATAAATAAGGAAGGAAGGCTAAAACTTTCTAGAATCAAATGACAAGGAAAACACCTATTACCAGTACCTTTGGGATATAGCTAATATAATTCCAAAAGGAACATTTATAGTTATGAGAATTTACATTAAAAATCAGAAGAATCTCAACTTAACAACATTACTAATGATGTGACTCAAGGGCCTAGACAAACAACAGTAATCCAAACCCCAAAGCAGTAGAGAGCAATAAGTGCCAGGGAATAAATTAGTGAAACTGAGACTAAGAGAACAATTCCCAGATTCTTGGTTTTGTCATTCAATAAGAAGGCTGGACTATTGGTTGATAAATTTGAGGAAGTGCTTGTGTTAAAGATCCATGCTGCTGACGAGGGCTCTTATTTCTAAAGTAAAAAATCGCTCAGTAATCAAAGCAATAATTTATTGCTTGCTTTTACATCAGAAAGCCTAAAAAAAGCTCCTGAGTGCCGTGCTGTATTAGAAAAGCATTATAATAGTTCTCCCTTGGTGTCCTCTATTAATAGTTTCACCAGCCACATTTAAGGCTTTGTTACCACAAATAAGTATTATTACAGTCCTTAACATTTAACTAAAGTCTATTAGAGTATTTTTGACTAGCAGTAGAAATACAGCATTTCTAACCTACAGAATACTTTGAGTGAGCCAAGTGTCTCTCACATCCTTTAATCACGAAGCCATTAAAAATCCATTGACCTATTATGGCAGCATGTACAACCCTGTAACATCCACTTGATTAATAGTGGCAACCTGGCTATACCTCTGCTTTAACATTTCATAACTTAGTTAATAATAGTTGTATCTGACTCACACATGCCTCTTTTAAAACAGAAATATAGGAACTTGTTGGTCTTGTAGAGGACCCCGGCTCTGTTTCCCAGTATTTCCATGGTGGTTCTCAACCATCCATAACTCCAGTTGCAAGGGATCATATGTCTTCTTCTGAGCTTGATGGGCCCCAGGTAGTCATGTGGTACACAGATTTATGTGCAGACAAACACTCACACACAAAAAAAGAAAATGAACATGTCTTTGAAAAATAGTATTCTCTAGTGCATGTGTATCACATTTTCATTATCCATTCATCAGATGTAGAACATTTAGGTTGTTTCCATTTACTAGATATTTTTGAAGTTTGCTAAAGAATACCACAACCAATTAAAATGCAGAATTGTAGATCCTAGTCCAAACAGATACATCTAAAAAAACCCAAAAAACAAAAACCCACACTTAAGGATCAGGGAACATTATAGAAGAGGGAGAGGAAAGATTGTAAGAGCCAGAAGATCAGGGAGTTTTCTGTGAGAATGTGTCTCTTAGTAACATCACATGCTATACCCATAAAGGCTCATCAACATTATTGCCCAAAATGTGAGCAGAATAAGAATAACACCAATGAACTTGGTAAACTGTGTAGAGAAAAACCTCACAAGGACTGAACTCTACACAAAGAACTGTAGGCAACTGAGGAAAACTGGGAATGGGAGAGGTGGCCTTCCCCCAAATATACATAAAAGTAGCATTGTATGGAGTGCACAAGTTATATTTAGGAGTATATATGTATCCATATATACACTCAATAATAATTAATGAAAAAGTGAGGGGAAGGATTTGAAAGAGTGGGGAGGAGTATCTGGAAGAGGTTAGAGGGAGGAAGGGAAGGGAGAAATGTTAAATTATAATCTCAAAAATAATATAAATACCAGGAAAAAATAGGTATAATCCCTAGCCTCAACTTTCCATGTTAATCAGAATAATTTTGCATGCAAATGAAAGAAACAGAACTCAAATCATGTTCAACTATTTAAACCATGACAATAATATTGATAAATTATTAGATTAGCTATAAAGATATTTGAAGACTAACAAAATAAATACAGATAAGAACCAGAGAGATAACCTCAGGACTCCACTTTAACTACATCAGTCTCTCTCCTCTTGGTTTCATCCCCGGAGTCCTTTCCATCTGGCAAGGAATATGGCAGCACATCCTAACGGGAAAGGAGCCTCTTCCTGTCCACATTGGGCATCTCTATGTCAACCCTGGGAAGGATCCTGCTTAGGATCCTCTTTGGAATGTGTGTCTACTCCTGAGACACATTACTGCTAATAGGAGAAGGGACAGCGTGAGTGGCTAGTAAATGAGAAACAGGATCTGTGCTAGAATACTGGGGCCTGACTGGTGGGATGTAAAGCAGTCAAAACCACCTTCAGTACCTCTAGACCCTAAGCTTGGGGCCCTTTTCCTTGAGCCTTATTCCAATGTGACCCCCACCGCCCCCACCCAAACCCTTCTCTTCCTAAACTCCCTTCCCCTTGCATTTCTTGCATGCCCATGGGTGAATTAACAAAGAAGCAACACTTTCAGGTTCCTACCATGAAAAACTTGGTTTACCCTGCTTAAGTGGACAAAAGGAAACCCCTAGTGACTCTCTCTCCCTTGTCACAGTCACTGGCTGGTCCAACCTGGGGTGGTATTTAGGTGATAGAGTTAACTGTTCCTTAACAGTTATCTTTCCTAACTGACTTTAAAAGAGCTCCGTGTTTGGGTCTTCAACCAAAAACAGTGCTGTCCTTTTTCTAAGAGTTACTCCGTTGTTGCTTTGTTTTCCTTTCCCTGCAAGTATTTCAGAGAAACCACAGATTCATTTGAAATTATAGCTACTTCTGGTGGGTCCTGAGCATGTGCTTACTGAAGTATGGGGGAAGGAGAAATCATTTGCACCAGCTTTGTAAACAGGCTCATTACACACACACACACACACACACACACACACACACACACACACACACACACACACACACGTATGTGCATAAATGTGTATGGATGTTAAGGTACCTTAAAAAAATCACTGGCATATTTCTGTAAATATGGGGAAATTCTTCAAATGTTTATATGAGAGCATTATCAAATAATTAAGGTGTAGTTTTAAAAGGACATGATGCATACTTACAAAGTACAACTGAAGATTGCTTTCTGATGCCCCAAACACCATTTGTATATTTACACTTATAACTATATTTCTCTTGCTGTTAGACTGCTTAGAGCTGTGGCTCTCACCCTGTGGGTCACAACCCCTTTGGGGTCAAATGAACCTTTCACAGAGGTCACTTAAGACCCCTAGAAACCACAAATAATGATTCATAAGAGTAGCAAAATTACAGTTATGATGTAGCAATGAAAATAATTTTATGGTTGAGGGTCACCACAACTTGAGGAGCTGTATTAAAGGTTCACATCATTAGGGAAGTTGAGAAGCACTGGCTTAGAGTGATACTATTTTTGCCCAAATTAACTCATGGTTAAAATGCATATGTCTTCTGGCATTCTTCATTAACATTTTTAGCAAGGTAACGTGGTGTGAAGAAGTGTTCACTTAACATGAATCAGGTCTAAGGCTTGTCTACTTCTTTTATAGAATAGCCTCAGAAGCTTCAATTTGTAATCCATGATAAACAATATTGGTCTATAATCTACAGGGAATATCTAATATACCAAAAGGTTAAAAGTCAAATGGGGTCAAGAGTTGTCTCAATGACAAATGGTAAAATCTGCCCATTGGCTCCAATCAGACTGGGCCCTTTGATTTATTAAAGATAATTGTCAAAAAACAATCCCATGTTGGGGGTATTTTGCTTTACTGCTTGAGGGTTTCATATGTATGCATTTTAGTTTCCTGACCTCTACAGATACTAAATCAAATATAAATAGAGCTCTAAATATGACACTAGGAAATGCATATGAGAGAGAACATTTTTCTTCCTAGGTTCAGGTTATTTTTCTCAATACAGTATACTTTTCAGCTATTTTTCTATATATTTCATTTTTTAAACATGTAAATAGAATTCCAACATGCCTATGTATGACTTTAATTTTTCACCTCTCATTTGATGGATGTCTAATATGATTCCATTTATTAGCTGTTGTGAATAAAGCTTTCATGAACATGGATGTGCAGATATCTCTGTCATAAGATACAGGAATGGGAGAGCTCAATCATGTGGAAGTTCTGTCTTTAGTTTCTTGAAAAACTGCCACATTGATTTCCATGGTGGTGGTACCAGTTTCCACTCCCATCATCAGTAAATAAAGGTTTCCCTTGCCAGCATCTGTAGTTAACTTGATTATATTTTTGATGATAGGCATTCTCACTGAGGTGAGATGGAATCTCAATGTACATTTAATTGGAATTTCTCTTGGTTAATGATGTGAGGAACATTTGTAAATTGACTAGTCTTTTGTAAACCTTTTATTCAAAACCCATTTTTTTGGACTGATTACTTTCTTGATTATAAGCCAATTATTTTCTTTTTAATGTTTTTTGTTGACGATAGATTCCTTCCTTATACAATACATCCTGATTATAGTTTTCCCACCTCCTGCTTCTCCCAGTACCTCCCATACCTCTTTTACAGATCTACTCACGTTCTTTCTCAAATTAGAAAAGAACAGGTTCTAACAAACATAAAATAAAATTTAAGAAGATGCAGCAAAAAACTATCATATCAAAGTTGGATATGGCAACTCCATAGGAAAAGAGTCCCAAGAGCTGGCACAAGACTCAGAGACCCACTCGTTCTCACAGTCAGGAGTCCCATAAAACTACTAAGCTAACAGTTATAATATATACACAGAGGACCTGGTGCAGAACCATGTAGGCCCGGTGCTTGTTGTTTCAGTTTCTGTGAGCCCATATGCTTATTGCTTAGTTGA